CAATCTACATTCCAAACACAGTTTCACAATCTAGAATGGTTCATTTACACACAAGGAGTGAGTCGTCCAAAGGAATAGTCTTATTCACATGAGCTGAATGTGGTACAGAGTTAAGGGGACTCGGATCATGCACAGGCCGGACCATCTCCTATGAGGATTGGCCGGCCGGACCATTACCAACAGTGGGTAGATGTTTCTGTGCCATTCTTGATTGCCAAACCTTGTGGGCAAAGCATATTGGCTTCAGGATGTGAACACAGTATAACATGTATACCCATATACCCACCCTCACCTTAACTCTGTGCTGCCTTCAGCTTGTGTGAATAAGACTATTCCTTTGGAGGACTGATTCCTTGTGGGTCAATGAACTATTCTAGATGGTAAAACACTGTTTGGAAAGAACATTAGCTGCAGGAAGTCAACATGTATACCATACCTGTATACCCCTTATTTGTTGTCCTGCATTCAGCTTCAAAGAATAAGACTATTCCTTTTGGGGATCTACTCTATGCATTGTGATAACACATTATAGATTGTCAAACAGTGTGGGCAAAGAATATTGGCTTCAGGAATTGAATAACATGTTGTGCAAAGAAGCCTGTGAGTAGTAAATCTTGTCTTGCATATCCTGGCCTAACTATGTGTTCTTGAAAACTAGGAAATTGATACTAGACTCTGCGAATGAAGGGCTCCCAGACAATACCACATTTCCACATATAGTAATTCAACAGCCCGGCTGGTTTTGCCCACCGGCCGGCCATTTTTTGCCGAGCACCGGCTGTTTTTGCCGGCCGGTGAAGTAGAAGCTTCGGCCGGTCAATCCAAAGCTTCGGCCGGTTAAGAAAAGCTTCGGCCGGTTAAGAAAAGCTTCGGCCAATGAAGGAAAAGCTTCGGTCAATGAAGTAAAAGCTTCGGCCAATGAAGTAAAAGCTTCGGCCAGTGAATTGAAAGCTTCGGCCAATGAACTAAAATGCCCGGCCAATGGTTTGAAATGTCCGGCCTATTGATTTGGCTGGTGGCAGCTTCACTAAGCCCCTTTAAAATGTGGGAACACTATGTTGGGCTCCATTAGTGATGGTCTTACATATACAATGATTCAAATCACACTCTGTATCATAATACAATAGGCCGAAGGTTTTTGAATGCCCTCGGCCAGTGTTTTCATGGCTGGCCAGTGAGCTAACAGCTCAGGCAATGTGATAGGGCATGCACTGTGGACATATAATACATGCTACTAGTAGGCTGTTCTAAGGGAGTATGGTCTATTGTTGACTGGCCCAGCCAATATTGGGACACAATACTGTTGCCCGGCCGGACCATTACCAATGGATGGTGCCACTGCCCGGCCGGACCGTTACCAGTGTGGAGTGCTAGATTATATGGCCTGGCTAGCCTGCTATCAATGTGGAAAAATGGTCCGGCCGCTCCGTTGCCAGCAAGAGATGATGCAACCCGGCCGGTCTGTTATTAGCCAGGGAGCATGTGCTCCGGCCGGCCCATTGCAACTGGTGAACTATGCACTCCGGCCGGCCCATTACAAATGAAGGATCCCATTTCCCGGCCGGTTCGTTACCATAGGAGAAAGAGTATCCTGGTTGATCTGTTACAATTAAAACCCCTTATTGCCCGGCCGGTCCATTGCCAGCAAGACACTAAATGGCCCCCCTGTTCAGACAGAAAATAGGTGCCCTAGGGATACACCGGCCGGACCGTTTGAACTGGTTTGAGATATGCTCGGCCGGCTTGTTTGAAACCAGTCCGGCCGGCCTGTTTGCAACAAGGAAATCACAGCTCCGGCCGGAGGCGGCTCTACCGTTTGCAACGGTCGAAATGCACTCCGGCTGTACCGTTAGTATCGAGTAGGTACCACTGAATAATGTGCTCACCGTGCGTTCCATAACCCTCCCGCAGATCATCCAAGAGTGCAATGCAACAGCTAAACATAGGCACTTGAATGTACGGCGCAGTCGGGATGCATCCTCGTTCATTCTCTGTCAGCAATACCAGATTCGTGGGTGAACCATACTCGCCTGCAGTTCTGGATTCGTTATGTTCATCTTGCAGTCTGGTATTCGGGGAATGGCCTCCGTTGTCCTATCGCGTCCCATCAGCAGTTGTGCATAGCGAGTTTTTACTCACGCAAGAGTAAGCAAGGTCACATTGGAGTCTGGGGCAGCATTGTCCTTCTGGCCAAGGGGGCACTGGTCCTTCGCAATGACGAGGTCGCGGAACTGGGGACAGGAAACGTAGGGTTCAGAAAGCCTCATTGAGCGTCCGGTCGTCTGTGCGCGCATCAGCGCCGAATGTCTTCCTCGCCAGAAGAGTACAGGCACAGGACGACAGGTCGACACGCCCAGGCAGTGCGTCAACTGTCCGACGATTCTCGACAACATGGCCTTGCACTCACCGTCATCGACCACAGCCTGTCTGTCCGCCTCGCCCTCTCACCGTCCTCCGCTTCGATACCAGCGACCTCACATACACAATAACCCGACAAACGCACCCCGGGAGCCAACCATTGCTTCGACATCGCTAGGTTCAGGGAGAGCAAACAGAGAGGAGCGGCGCAGCGTCGAGCGTCGAGTGTACAAGGAGCTATGCCGCAAGGTGGGCCGCAGAGACTGAGAGATGGACGCACGCCGGCGTTTGCGAGGGCTGATTACATAAGGTCCACGCACCCCAAGTTCTACGAACTGAGTCCGGTCTCTACTCCGTTTGCGATGCCTAAGTCCTCAGTGTCACCTAAGTTCGACCTGGGACGCGATCTCTGCATCCACCATGGCCACCTCCTGACTAGATTACAGTGCCACCTCCGCTGCTACCTCAAACGTCCTCGTCCATAACGTGATACCATTGCCTCGTCTGCATCCTCGCATCCCTTCGCCGCTGCTATCTATGAACGACGCAGACCGCGCCCGGCGCGCGCTCCACCGCAGACGTGCTCGGCGACCCGCCGCCGCGTGAGAGCGGCTAGCAAGTGCAGCCGCAACATTTTGGGAGGGAGAGAGTAACATGGGCACTGACTCGGTGAGTATCTGACCATTTTTACGCTGACATCTCCCAGTCCACACCCGCTTCCGATAGATACCAGTCGCCCGACGGAAAGTCGCTTTCTGACACCCCGCACGTCAACGGATCGCCGTAACCTATTGGGACCTGACGCTGCCCATCATAGTGAACCTGTACCGCTGGGTCACACTCCTGTCGGACCACATGAACAGCAACTCGAGTACAATGTCGCTATCCTGCATCTGTAAAAAGCCCTCCCTCGTTCCGTCCGCATATCTCTGCACCACACCCCGAAGATCGTCTACATTTGCACCGATGACCCTGACCTTCCCGTGTTCTACTTCGACCCTCTCATCAGTCCTATCTCGTTGCGCAGCTTCACACCGAAGAACGCGCCATTTGTACTCCATGAGGACGCGATCTTCGGCCCGAATGACGCTGAGGACGACGACTTTGAGCTCGCTGACGAGGTCGAGCCTTTCCCCGAGGACAAGCCGCTGGAGAGCGATCTCACGGCGGATGCTATCGCGCTCTGGTGGGCGCCCGATCCGTACAGCCGCCGCTCAGGGCGTATGCGCCGAGCGCAGGATATCCCGCTCGTGAAGGACTGGTATCTCGAGCACTGCCCTCCTAACCAGGCAGTCAAGGTTCGCGTATTGTATCAAATTCTACTCAAGTGCTACGTCTTGAACGAACTCAAGACACGCCCGGAGAAGGCCATGTTGAAGAAGAACCTGTTCAAGCAGCTCAAGGCGACCAAGTTCTTCCAAACCACACGGTTGGACTGTCGAGGCGGGTCTGCAGGTCTGCAGGCAGGGTTACAACATGCTCAACCTGCTCATCCACCGGAAGGTACGTTGTCTCGGGAAGTGTGGTCAACGTGGTCACTGACGTACTTTACCAGAACCTGAACTGCCTCCACCTCGACTACAACATGATCTTGAAGCCAGTGAAATCGCTCACGACCAAGGAACGTAACGAGTCGCAATTCGGAAGCGCCTTCCATCTGCCTGTGGGATCCTTCGCCTCACGAAGTTGACGGTCAATGTGCACGTCCAATGGCATCTCCGCAATGTTGATGCGTTCCAGCTCGCAGACTTGGTACCCCGCACGTCAATGGATCGTCGTACAGCAGACACATTTGGGTCAGCTGGCCCAGTGGAGAACTACCGAAGAAGTAGCAGCATTCGTCCGTTTTTCCCGTTCTCGCGTGAAAAAAGGATTTGCTATGCACGACTGCTGATGGGACACGATAGGACAACGGAGCCATTCCCCAAATACCGGAGCACAAAGATGAACGTTACGAATGCAGACCTGCAGGCGAGTACAGTTCACCCGCGGATCTACTAATTATAACAGAATGCACGAGGACGCGTGCCGACTTCGCCGCATATTCAAGTGTCTATTTCCAAGCTGTTACGCTGCATTCGTGGATGATCTGCAGCATCAGGAAAAATCAATATGTCTTTTTCCTACATATTCAGTCATAATAGGTGCATTGAAGACAGAAAGCATGCTGAAGAGCCTAAAGACCAATTTACACAAGTCCCCCTTTCAATTCTGCAAAAGAAGTTCCACCAATCTTGTTTAAGCATGCTTTAGTGCGATGAGGATGTGTAATGTAGCACCATTTTGCTGTACTTATTGTTGCTTTTTGTCACTGATTCTGTCTTCATGTGACTCAAATCCATTCGCAAATATGCACCTTGTGCATTAGGCATGATCCACACGACGATGATATTGGTACAACAATGTTCAGTACTACTTATACAACATGACAACAACACCGAGATGACAAGCCACGACTCGGAGCAACTATACATACCACTAAGACAACATTGATGGCAGAGCGACCGACTCGGACCGACCGACCGACACACCCTTGAACGCAGTACCATATACTACACTTGATGGTCAATAGTAGAGCGAGATGATTGAATGAGCAAATGCTTCAATTCTGTAGATGACTGATTGACTTACCATCGACCTACTCAGGCCCCGCCGTTCGTGGATGCTCCACTGCCACGGTCTGGAAAATGTTGAATGGGATCATGTAGGTGGCAAGTGACGACTGAACACGCACCTTCTCCAGACCCGCGGAGTTCATCGATCTCAGTCTGAACCCCTTCACCGCCTTCGCCAGAGAGTCCGGCGCCCCCTTCGTCCTCACTGTGGCCCTGTCCACCCGCTTCACCGCCCTCGCTGCCGTCAGAGTCGCGCCGTTGGTGGTTCTGTGACTTCGAAGTCGACGCGCCTGCACCGCGAGTCTTCCTCGATGGACTGGGTGGATTCTTCGCAGCCTGCGAAGAATTCGGTGTCTTCGCGCTTTTCGATGAGCCGGACGGCTTGCCCGCGGTCTTCGATGATGCGGTGGATTTATTGCCCTTCTTCGCGGTGCTCGACGGCGGCTTGGTCGCAGCCTTCGATGTGCCGGGCTTGTCGCTGCTGCTCTGCGCCTTTGATGCACGCAACTGGAGCAAAGGGATGAAGCTGCCCGGCTGCTCATCGCTGTCCGTCACTCCCTCGAGCGCGTTGGGGCCAGCGTTGAGACGATTGCTGTATGTGTGGTCAGTAACAATTTCCGTCTAGATTCAAAACTTACCTGATGTGCTTCCATATGAGCTCTCGCGTCTCTTCGAGGTACTCGCTGGCACTGTCTTCCAGAGTCTCTAGGATGGCCATCGTGCCATCCCACCTATGGTTGGTGAGCTTTCACCATTTGCAATAGAACTTAAGAATTACTTACTTGGCCGCGAAAAGCTTGCCGGAGAAAAATATGGACTGGTTGTGCGACGTTACCTCCATCAGTGCTGCCTCGATCTAGTTTACAATTGTATGAGTAGCTTAACTTAGAGCAGGAACTCACGAGGATGCGGATACGTACCGCGTTGCATGCGAGGGCGATGAGGTTGAAGGGCATCTTGCTGAACTCATCCAGGGCCGCATTGATGTTCGCATCGCCGCGTCCTGCCAGGCCGTAGTACTGGTAGATGAGCTCAGGGATGCATTCGTTTCGGAATGGCTCCGTGGGCTCGACCTTGGTAAGCTAGGATTGCAGTGAGCTCGCTCTGACGTGTTGCACCCTGTGTGAGCACGTACCTCTCGATCCAGCTTTTTCTTGCGATCGAAGTGGAACTCTACGCCCCCGAAGACGAAGTTCGCGATGTTGCGTGTCCCGGAACCGTCATTCACTTCCGTTGGGTGCGTCTCGAGAAGCCAAACGACGACCTCGGTCCTTTGAGGAACTGTCAGGCTGCCAAGCTTGAAGGTCTGCTCTATCACTTGCTTCGCCTTCCTCTTGAGCTCGTTCCGAGTCTGTGATGAGCAAGTCCAGACCTGGAAAGAATCAGAGCCTCCGACTTTCGTGAATTATAATGAGTGTGAGCTCACCACGGAGTAGGCCTTCGCTCTCAAAGCGGCTCGTTCCGAGTCCTCGTCACCATCCGAGCTCGCATCGCCATTCGCTTTCTTCTTGTCTTTCTGGGTGTGATCCGCTTCCTTCTTGTCTTTCTTCTTGTCGTCCTTCTTGTCGGCCAGCAGCCAAAACGCGGCCTTGATGTCGGCAGCATGGTTGCCAGTCCCTCGTCTGTCATAAGCGTCGCGAACACTGTCACGGATTAGTATATCCCTCCTTGGCAGCCGCTTGGACGCGACTGAAGCCTCCTTCGTCCACGCCGAGTTGAGCGCAATGCGTAGTCGCAGACAATTTTGCGCGGCCGAGACGAGAGTCCTGACTTTGGCTGGTAAGTCGGCGACCCTGGCGCGACTGCTGCTGTCTCGACCACTGCCCGTCGACTTGGCGAGAGCCGGCTTGCTTTGCGCCCTCGTCTCAGACACGACCTGCAGATAGTCAATGCGATGCTAATCACGACCAATAAACCAGAGAGGATACTCACTACCACATCGCCCTCGTCCTCGCCCTCATCGTCTCCGTCCTCCGACTCTTGAGACTCAGGCCCTACATCGTCGACGTCGTCCTCATCCTCGACCTGACTCCCATCGTCGCCTGCGTCATCGTCATAAGCATCATCGCTGCCTCCGCCATCGCTGTCTTCGTCTGATTTGGGGTCATGCTCGCTCTCGACCGAGTCATCCTTGCCTGTTGCTCGGGCCTTACCCTTGTCCTGACGATGTGAAACAGAGCTATGTCTTAGCCTTCGCACAGTACGAGAAATCACTGCCTACCTTCCCACTCACCGGCAGTGCCTTCGGTTTGGCAGTACCGTGAGTGGACTTGCCACCGCCAGACTTAGGTTTTGTCGGTTTCAGCACACCGCCCTTACGACTACTGCCAGCGTTCTCCCTGGCTTCACGCCGCCCCCCGACTACACATTTGATAGCTTAGCCAATAATAATGTGGATATATGAAGTGAATTACTCAGTGTTTGTGCAACATTCTCCTCGGCGGGATCCAAGGACGTCTCGGGTCTCGCGAATTTACCGTATGCCGGCTTCGGTTTGGCTTGGTAGAAATGCAGCGGTCTAGTCAGTAATGTGTACGTACAGCAGACCATGGTTGCCACGTACGTCGAGTGGTAGTAGGCTGCTTACTAGTAGTGTCATCCTCCATCTCGACATCTTCTGGCGTGTCTTCGACTGCCTTATCCTGCTCATCGGCTTCCGCCTCGTCCTCCACCACAGCACGCTTCTTCTTTTTTGTTTTCGGTTGCTCTTCATCACTCAATAATTCTTCTTCGGCCATTATCTTCGACGCCCTCTTCCGGACCTCTTTCAAGCAGGCCATCAGCGATAACAGTTAGGTTCATTGCAGCACAAACGACGCTCACGAGTAGTGCGTCGCTCCTTCTCCTTCTCCTTCTCCCTTTCCTGACCCTTCTTCTTGGCGGCCACTTCTTTCGCCTTGCCCTTCGTGAATTTACTATTTTTCATGGAGCCGCCTGCGGCCTGGGTGTTGGTCAACCTGGTCGACCTGGGCGTTTCGGAGCCTTGTTCGGTTGCAACCGATCGGGTGACGCGCTTCGAGTCGGGCATGCCTGAATACGTAGCCAGAACACGGAGAGAGGAAAGACAGAGGATAGACTGTAGTGATATGAGAAACAAGAGACGCACCGTGGAATTTTACGTAGACGCTGCGAACTTCAACGATCGATGTGAGTGATGTTCATAGAGTCCGAGCGCTGTCAACCATGGGAAAGCGCTCATGGTATTCGCCAAAACGCGCAAGTTGAGTGAGGACGAGTGAAGCTATGTAGATACTAATAAATAAAAGTGGCGTTAGTAGAGCAACCATTGCGCTCCTCCAGCCACTTAATCATTTCTCTGTCCGTGTGCAATACAATGAAAGCCCGACGACCTTTGAAGTGTGAGTTTAAATGCGTCAATTTGCACGATGGAAATATCACGAAATCGCCGTTGCGAAGAGGTAGTATGACCAGACCTGGTTCATACAACTTGAACACAAGTTCGCCTCTGTCGATCGGAACTGTTGAGATATCGCTGCATAGGTTGCTAGCGGAGATCCCCACATGGCTCAGGTTCATGACTATGAAGTTAGCAAAAGGGTGGCAGTGAAGTCGCGGCGCCGCGGAGTCACGTCTAGTACCCTTGACAGACCCACATAGCCTCTTGATCGCAGTGGTGCATCCTGCCCTACCCTGCCTCCTGGACTGCGAATACGATCCTCTACCAACCTTATCGAGCACTGCGAGGCTACTAGTGTTAGACAACTCAGATCAGCAGACAGATCAGCCACGTCATAGTCGTTAAGAACCACATATTATTGTACTGAATACAACCGCCGTACAATTCAATACTACCTGGGCACTACATCAGGCTCGCGCGAGCTACATGCATGTCGATCTTCCGTACGTCCGGCACTGCTCCATGAGCTCGGGCTCAAATTGTGCTTGCGTGGTCTAAGGCGCGTAGGCTCATCGTGTGTATGCGGCGAGCTGGTCAGGGAGGCGCATCGTGAATTCTGGAACGATCGATACTCCTGCATGGGATGTTGGTGCTTGGCGGCCCAGCAATCCTCGGGAGCGATGTGGTAGGGTCATCCTCGACGTGCCTGTACGCATTGGACTGAGGCCTGTCGGGCTGCTGGTCAACGGGCCCTTGCGCACTGTGTGCTGGTTCACGTTCCGGTGGGCGCCTAGCGGGTACTCACCGAGTGGTCCTGCTTGTTGGGGCTGGTCAAGCCGGACATGCGTTCACCGTATTGCTGTGCGACGGGTGGTCGTATCCGTACGCATCGGCCGTATCCGTACGCACCGGTGCGTGCTTGCTGGGGCTGGTCAACCCGGACATGCGCTCGCCGTATTGGTGTGCGACGGATGGTGGTATCCGTACCCGTCGGTCGTATCTGTCCGCATCGGCCGTACCCGCACGCATCGGCCGTATCCGTACGCACCGGTGCGTGCTTGCTGGGGCTGGTCAAGCCCGGCATCGTATTGGTGTGCGACGGATGGTGGTATCCGTACCCGTCGGTCGTATCTGTCCGCATCGGCCGTACCCGCACGCATCGGCCGAATCCGTACGCACCGGTGCGTGCTTGCTGGGGCTGGTCAACCCGGACATGCGCTCGCCGTATTGGTGTGCGACGGATGGTGGTATCCGTACCCGTCGGTCGTATCTGTCCGCATCGGCCATACCCGCACGCATCGGCCGTATCCGTACGCACCGGTGCGTGCTTGCTGGGGCTGGTCAAGCCGGGCATGTGCTCGTCGTATTGGTGTGCGACGGATGGTCGTACCCGTACGCATCGGCCGAATCCGTACGCACCGGTGCGTGCTTGCTGGGGCTGGTCAAGCCCTGCATGCGCTCGCCGTATTGGTGTGCGACGGATGGTGGTACCCGTACCCGTCGGTCGTATCTGTACGCATCCGTCGTACACGCACGCATCGGCCGTATCCGTACGCACCGGTGCGTGGTTGCTGGGGCTGGTCAAGCCCGGCATGCGCTCGCCGTATTGGTGTGCGACGGATGGTGGTATCCGTACCCGTCGGTCGTATCTGTCCGCATCGGCCGTACCCGCACGCATCGGCCGTATCCGTACGCACCGGTGCGTGCTTGCTGGGGCTGGTCAAGCCCGGCATCGTATTGGTGTGCGACGGATGGTGGTACCCGTACCCGTCGGTCGTATCTGTACGCATCAGTCGTACACGCACGCATCGGCCATATCCGTACGCACCGGTGCGTGGTTGCTGGGGCTGGTCAAGCCCGGCATCGTATTGGTGTGCGACGGATGGTGGTATCCGTACCCGTCGGTCGTATCTGTCCGCATCGGCCGTACCCGCACGCATCGGCCGTATCCGTACGCACCGGTGCGTGCTTGCTGGGGCTGGTCAAGCCCGGCATCGTATTGGTGTGCGACGGATGGTGGTATCCGTACCCGTCGGTCGTATCTGTCCGCATCGGCCGTACCCGCACGCATCGGCCGAATCCGTACGCACCGGTGCGTGCTTGCTGGGGCTGGTCAACCCGGACATGCGCTCGCCGTATTGGTGTGCGACGGATGGTGGTATCCGTACCCGTCGGTCGTATCTGTCCGCATCGGCCGTACCCGCACGCATCGGCCGTATCCGTACGCACCGGTGCGTGCTTGCTGGGGCTGGTCAAGCCGGGCATGTGCTCGTAGTATTGGTGTGCGACGGATGGTCGTACCCGTACGCATCGGCCGTATCCGTACGCACCGGTGCGTGGTTGCTGGGGCTGGTCAAGCCCGGCATGCGCTCGCCGTATTGGTGTGCGACGGATGGTGGTATCCGTACCCGTCGGTCGTATCTGTCCGCATCGGCCGTACCCGCACGCATCGGCCGTATCCGTACGCACCGGTGCGTGCTTGCTGGGGCTGGTCAAGCCCGGCATCGTATTGGTGTGCGACGGATGGTGGTACCCGTACCCGTCGGTCGTATCTGTACGCATCAGTCGTACACGCACGCATCGGCCATATCCGTACGCACCGGTGCGTGGTTGCTGGGGCTGGTCAAGCCCGGCATCGTATTGGTGTGCGACGGATGGTGGTATCCGTACCCGTCGGTCGTATCTGTCCGCATCGGCCGTACCCGCACGCATCGGCCGTATCCGTACGCACCGGTGCGTGCTTGCTGGGGCTGGTCAAGCCCGGCATCGTATTGGTGTGCGACGGATGGTGGTATCCGTACCCGTCGGTCGTATCTGTCCGCATCGGCCGTACCCGCACGCATCGGCCGAATCCGTACGCACCGGTGCGTGCTTGCTGGGGCTGGTCAACCCGGACATGCGCTCGCCGTATTGGTGTGCGACGGATGGTGGTATCCGTACCCGTCGGTCGTATCTGTCCGCATCGGCCGTACCCGCACGCATCGGCCGTATCCGTACGCACCGGTGCGTGCTTGCTGGGGCTGGTCAAGCCGGGCATGTGCTCGTAGTATTGGTGTGCGACGGATGGTCGTACCCGTACGCATCGGCCGTATCCGTACGCACCGGTGCGTGCTTGCTGGGGCTGGTCAACCCGGGCATGCGCTCGTCGTATTGGTGTGCGACGGATGGTCGTACCCGTACGCATCGGCCGAATCCGTACGCACCGGTGCGTGCTTGCTGGGGCTGGTCAAGCCCGGCATGCGCTCGTCGTATTGGTGTGCGACGGATGGTCGTACCCGTACGCATTGGCCTGGTTGCTGGGGCTGGTCAAGCCGGGCATGCGCTCGTCGTATTGGTGTGCGACGGATGGTGGTATCTGTGCCCGTCGGTCGTAGTATCTATATGCATCAGTCGTACCCTGGTAGTGTGTCCCGGAGCCGGGGCCTGGACGCTCGGAGGCATCGAGCACCAGGTGGTGTTTCCTAGCAGGAGTCAAGTAGTTTTACTGAACGCACCGTGGATTACGCTGCGTTGGACTACAGCCAACTCCGCGCGCTGTCCCGACATTACGGACTGTCCACGCGACGCGCAACAGCCCGAGCGTAACAGGTGTCTAGGCGGAGCGCCGCGATCACACCGTACTATGCTTGGGCGAAGGTTGTTGCTGCGAGGACGCAGGACTTCAGTGTGCTAGCGCGGAGTCTACGTCGACAGGCGTGCGTGCTTCAGTGGTCCGAAGAAGGCGGATTCGATACCTCAGAGCATGCGCACACCGGATTGTCTTCATGGTGGTCGCACTTGGTGGACATTAGTGGTTTCCCTCATGTTCGTCACCGCCGTGGTCGTGCTTGTGGGGAATCCGCGTACCGGGGTAAATCCCCTTGCGTCGGTCGCCATTTGGTCAGCCGTTTGGTCGGCCTTGGTGGCCATTTGCTTGCTGGGGTCCGAGTCATCTGCGGAGGGAACCAAGGGCGTGTGGCGCACTCACCTGATAACACGGTCTGCTAGCCGCATCGTCCCTCCCTCACTGTGTCATGAGGACACATTCCTGTACGCGCTCCAGCCGCACATCCGGCGTCCTGCAGCACGTCAGCCCCTGTACTCCCTCCGACAGTGAAGAAGGATCCCCACGCGGTTTACCTGGTAGACAGGCGAGGTGGGAAAAGGATGCGACTCGGAGTGAGGGATGGACGTACCATCGGCAGCGCAGACTTACGGGCGGGCAGGCGGGCGGGTGAGCGAGCGGACCGAAGTATAGATGCCCAACAAAGTGACGAGCGGGAGCATGCACAAAAGAAATTACGGGTGAATGGGAGCGTGAAGCGGACGAGCGGGTGGACAGGAGCAGGGGCGAGAGAGTGTAGGAGAGGGAACTTGAATACAAGTGAGAGGGAATACGAGTGTGTGTGTGTGGACGTGGACATGAGAGAGTGCGGGCGAAAGAGAGCGCGGGTGAAAGAGAATATGAGCAAAAGAGAGCATGAGTGTACAGACAAGCCAGTGCGCAGGCAAGCGGGTGAGGAGAAAGACAGATGAGCAGGAGGAGGGGCAAAGTATGGGGTCACCAGAGCCGGCGCCGCAGAGCGTCACGGTCGACGAGTCGGTCGGCACTTCCCGACCACGGGCGCTCTACACTTCGTGATGCCAGCGACGAGCGTTGACTCTCATCCTCCTCCTAGCCACCTCAACTCTGGCCCGCTCATCTGACCAACTACTGCATGCTGCACATCGATCACACTACGACTCCAAGTCCATATGACAAGATACTAATAGATGGTGAGTGGCCCCGCTATCATAGCGAGGCTGCTACAGCGCGCTGACCAACACCACACTGTCTCTTACCTGCCCGCCCTCTCGCGCCTGCCTGTTCTCGCCCACCGGCCCGCCCTCTCTTATCTGCCCATTTGTGCCAGCCTGTCCACGTATTTTCACCGCGACGCTACTTAGGCTTCTCGCACACCCGACAGCACCCTCACGCCTCGCCCCGCTCTCATTCATCTTCAAATACGGTCTATATGGACAACTCACGCGCCAGGCCAGGCCATCCGTGATCCGCGAGTTCAGTGAGTGGTCTGATAACTACTTCGAGGAGCTCCCCCGCCTCTCTGACTGATCTCTGTTACAAGGTGCATGCCGAGGCGAATGTGCCTCCGCCACGCGCATGTAGAACACCCGCCATCGCGCGAGACGGGCTCGCACCTTGCCCACCTTCTCGTCTACTTGTGCGCACCTTCTCGCCCTCCTGTCCGCTCTCACCCGCCTGCCAAATCTCGTCCGCCCACTGCGCGACCATCCATGACCCGCATGACCCGTACGACCCGCGCGAACCCGCACACAACCCATACCCGCTGTCGCGGGACTACACCCGGGGCAAGTACGGGTACGGGTACGCTTCGGGACATCTGCGGCTGGATCTCAACCAATACCACACTCACGGCGGCCAGCGAGCACGCTGGGTCAATGCCGAGCATTCGGACACGGCCGGCAGATGTATGCAAAGCGAGCGGGCGGGCAAGCAGTGGACGGATGAGCAGGCGGGCTGGTGGATCGGACGGACAGCCTGCAGGGAGACGAGCGAGTAGGAGAGTGGCTGACTAACAGACCGCGCGTGGGTGAGCAAAAGGCGGGAGATGGCGATGGTGGGCAGGGCTGCGCACGCGCAACACACCGATCGCGATGGCGAGAGCGAAGTCACGGGTGCAAGCACGACGTGCGCGACGACGGCGAGCACGCAGACCAAATGCGCTGCCTGCAAAAGTGACCAACGGGCAGACCGCAAACTCGAATCATGCATAGTGTCCCGCAATGTAGTCCATAGATTTACATATATAGTCATTCTTTTCATTGCAATGTGTCCGAGCGCAGCATATCATCAGCCTGCAAAATGGACAACTCGTCTGGTAGCTAATGGCTCAGTTACTGCGTAACGGCCTGCTAACGACTGTTCACGGATTTGAGCGCCGGGCTTCTAAAATTTGCTAACCTGTCTAACGAGCTGACGAGCTGACCATTGCTAAAATCCAAATTTCAGATGCTGTTAGAGGCTGTTAGCAAAAGCTGTTAGAGGCTGTTAGCAAAATCGCCGAAGTTCTGATTGGGAGTCGTACCCGCACGCATCGGCCGTATCCGTACGCACCGGTGCGTGGTTGCTGGGGCTGGTCAAGCCCGGCATGCGCTCGTCGTATTGGTGTGCGACGGATGGTCGTACCCGTACCCGTCGGTCGTATCTGTCCGCATCGGCCGTACCCGCACGCATCGGCCGAATCCGTACGCACCGGTGCGTGCTTGCTGGGGCTGGTCAACCCGGACATGCGCTCGCCGTATTGGTGTGCGACGGATGGTGGTATCCGTACCCGTCGGTCGTATCTGTCCGCATCGGCCGTACCCGCACGCATCGGCCGTATCCGTACGCACCGGTGCGTGGTTGCTGGGGCTGGTCAAGCCCGGCATGCGCTCGTCGTATTGGTGTGCGACGGATGGTCGTACCCGTACGCATCGGCCGTATCCGTACGCACCGGTGCGTGCTTGCTGGGGCTGGTCAAGCCCGGCATGCGCTCGCCGTATTGGTGTGCGACGGATGGTCGTATCTATGCCCGTCGGTCGTATCTGTACGCATCGGCCGTACCCGCACGCATCGGCCGTATCCGTACGCACCGGTGCGTGCTTGCTGGGGCTGGTCAAGCCGGGCATGCGCTCGTCGTATTGGTGTGCGACGGATGGTCGTACCCGTACGCATCGGCCGTATCCGTACGCACCGGTGCGTGCTTGCTGGGGCTGGTCAAGCCCGGCATGCGCTCGCCGTATTGGTGTGCGACGGATGGTCGTATCTGTGCCCATCGGTCGTATCCGTACGCACCGGTGCATGCCTGTTGGGTCTGGTTTGGTGTGCGACGGGTGGTCGTATCCGTACGCGTCGGTCGTATCTGTAAGCATCAGTCGTCTCCGTACGCATCAGTGCGTGCTTGTTGGGGCTGGTCAAGCAACAAATCGAATAACTGCGATAGCGATGGTACAAGATAGCATGAGCGATAGCGACAAAGAACCAAGGCATCTAAGGGACGACTACGTCAATCTTACACCGCTGGAGACTACACAGACGAGAGCTAGAGAACTACCGTTATTCGTACACTGGTCTCCTGGATGATACAACAAGCGAGGTGAGACGATCGGAGACACTATGATCACGACTGAGACGACGGGGGCGACGAGGGCGACGGGGACGACGCATACGAACGAGCTCACCCGCGGGAGGTACTCGGTCCATCACGAGCACGATCGTTGGTGCCCTCCGAGTCGTCTTCGCTGCTGTCACCGACACCCTCCCCACGCTTGCGTTTGAGATAATTGTTCTCCAGACGATCTAGGCGAGCCATGATGTCTTCCCCCTTCGAATTGCGCCCCCGCTTCCCGGGTTTGCTGCCTTGCGAAACGGTCGCGTCTTGACCGGTGATCCTCGAGTTGTCGCAGAGGCGTTCACTTGCAGTGCCGTATGCGCCCAACCGGATCTCGCGAACAAGACGAGGAATGCAGTCGTCAAAGTTCAGAGTTTCCTCGGGCGGATTGAGGAGGCGCAGCAGGTATATGCGAAGTTGTCCGAGCCGCTTTTCATGTTCCTCTGGGGGGAGGTCCATCAGCGCCGTGTCGATGGTCTGCTCATTCTCATCGAGCATCAGTTGGCCCGCCAACAAGGCTAGTTTCTCCTTGTAGGCTTGCACGACCTTGCCCATGAACGCCTCGACCTGCAGCTGCTGCGCCTCATTATACGAATCGAGGAGAGGCTTGCTAGAGTGTCAGTGGATTTGAAGTCACAACAGAACACGCTGACTTACGATTGCAAGGCCCCTAGCGACCCACTCCTCCATCGGCCACTTCGCCTTCACGCCCTCCCTAAAGATTTCCAGTTGGTCGAGGGGGATGTGAAACCAATAGACGCGAACAGCGCCGAAGAAGACTTTGCCCTTCGCGACGAATGGACCCGCTTTGTGTATCAACTCCGGGTACGTCTTCAGCATCTTGTTGTAGGCGTCGGCATCGAATTTCAGGTCTTTGAGTCGATGATAACCGATCCCTGGCGATGACCACTTCGCCTTCTCGCTACCGGTCTTCTGCAGCTCCTGGATCCTGAAGCAGTTGAGGGCGATGAGGTTCAGTGAGTCTTCATCGTCATCGTCGACCTCCTCGTCTCGATAGGCTACGAACCGGTCCGCCATCTCCAAGATCTGCCGTACCAGCTAGATTGAGTAGACTGCACCGATGATTAGTTAAAATTTCTGACCTTATTGAGTACGCCTTCCGTAGCGCCTTCGTATTCGGTGTACGTAGGCTGAGACTGCGCCGTCTCGTCCAGAGAAGTGATGACCAGTTCGCTGCCCACTTTGATTGCCTCGACGGCGTCGGCGATCTTCTTCTTCCCTCCTTTTCCACGCACAGACGCGTAGTCCGCGGTATCGTCAGAAATACCGAGGAGCCTTCGTAACCACACCGGCGGAAGGAAGTATTCAACGAATCGCTTGTGGAGCATCAACTTCTTCAATGCACCGAGACGGTTGTGTAGGTGAGTTGGCGACATCGTTGTTAATTCGTTCTTCTCTGGATCATAATCAAAACTACGATATCATGTTCGAAATTATTATTTGAATCTGTTCGAGAAATCAGTACCCACCTGTACCGGTTTAGCTCGTCGTGGGTCTGAAGCCACTCCTGCAATGCCTTCCACTCTGTCTCAGTGAAGCCGGTGACCACCTGCACAGTGTAATAACAATTTAAATCTCACAGGTATCGAACTGCTAAACGGCAAATAACACTTACGAACTCGCCTGCGGCGTAGGGAAGCTCGTTGTAGCGATCCCCGAACGCCTTTCGGACTACCTCAGGGTATTGTTCCTCCTTGTCGGTCTCGATCTCCTCGATAGCTAGCAGATGTCGATCATCAGTGGATCGCGTAGGTATGCCTGTAGTAGGCACGTCATACGTACCAGGCTCCTTATTGACTGAGTTCGACTTGTCTCTGGTCGGGCTAATCTCTACCGATTTGATGCCGCACATTAACGAGCGCGCTGCGTGGAGATGGCGCATCCGGATACTCACCTGGCTCGGCAGAGCTTGCTTTCTTGAAATTGTTAGAGTGTTTAGACCTGGATCTTGCTATATAATGAATCTGTCAGTACCAACGAAGCGACGATAAAATTCTGTAAGTACTCACCTTCAAGGCTCGTGGCCTGAGATTGGTAGCTCGAGTAAGCGCTGTCCCCCTTCAAGCTGTCGTTGCCATTGGTAAGACGAGGAGAGATGGATAGAGGTGAGCGGATGGTGTGAGGGACAGAGCGAGAGCGAACGATAGAAGTGGGAGACATCTTCGTTCACGATGGTGACTCAGAGTATGAGGACCCTCAAGAACCTGCCTGGGGCCGGCCGCCACTCAGGCAAAGGAGCTAAGCATGTCGTCAAGTGACCGGCCTAGCATGTGCAACGCCGGCACAGCCTCCCCTCAGAGTCCGCAGAGAATTTGTGGCCTTACTGTATGCGTTCTTCGTGTTCTCACTATGCCATCGCGTGCCCCGCCCAATTGGCTCTTCCAGCTTGTGTTACTCACGCTGGATCTTCGCTACCCCCATTACAGCCAGACGCACTTCCACGGCGGACCGGATTCATCTGTTGTATTAAAGCGGCACAGGCCCTGCTTTCTCCGCTGTGCCTGTGGCATGTGACAGCTGATGCGCCACAGCTGTCACACGCCACAGCTCGCGATGTCGCATAGCATTGAAGTCCGTAAGGAAGAGAAAAAAGCTGAAGTACACACCTTGGGTAGGTTTCCAATACACGCCAACTCCTATGCGATCAAGATGATCGAGTGTGACCTACAACAAACGGTAAACTGGTCAGTTCAGCATCACGTAGGTATTAGGAGAAAGGATGAATGTTACCAACGCCCTAGCGCTGTCGGGTCCGAGACGAACATGAAGGTTGAACGTTGAACGTTGAAGGAGAAACGCACCGTGCAACGCGCTTCGTCTGACGCTCACAAACGCCCTAGAGTAACGTAATGACATATGAAGGGTGGTTGCAATTTATGCAATGAGTTTCAAAATTTTGGCCCCTCCCTCGTTCGCTTTCCTCTCGGCCCTCATTCCCAGTGCGTATTTATTCCTCTGCTGTGTTTTTGTGAGCCTAAAATCAGTTTATGGGCTAGGTATGGTGAAGCGAAAGCGCACCTTCGACGAGCTCCTCGGCGATACATGCGGCGCTTGTCACCAACCATTCCGAACGACGCAGGGCCTCTGCGCTCACCAGACCATGAGCAAGAAATGCTCATGGTATAAGAAAGGAAAACTAAAAGAAATTTTTACCGTCAAGGACCATCCGGTAGCGTTGGAAGACGGCGTGATAGTTGAGCACACGCGGTAAGCTCCTAGAAGTCCCTACAGGGTTTGGACAATTAAAATAATGCGTACATTCAGGCGCACCGACCTTTCGAGCAGACCCGACCATTCTGGCGACGAGTCAGAGCATGTCCCCAATCCATCACCTGAAGAGGACGCAAATGAAGACCTTGAAGAAGAAGAAGAGGACGATGAGGACCTCTCGTCACTTTACGATTTCATAGAGGTCTGCGCACCTTCCAAGCCGCCGGGCGATCCAGGAGGGTACGGAGACGGACACGATGGTGGAGGTGGAGGTGGACACGGTGATGGCGGCGGCAACACAGGCAGCGCTGCAGCAGGGCCATCAACTTCGAATAGTACAAGACGAACTGCGCTCTCGCTGGATGACGACCACGACGAGCGAGTAGTAGACGAAGATGTAAGCGCAGGCAAGGTTACCGGCGTAGACGAAGAGGTGCGCAGAAGATGGCTGGAGGGAAGGGAAGGTGGACGTTCAGGTTAGTAAGGGATGCTGACACACACCTATGACGACTTGCATTCTGACTGTTGAACTAGGATTAGCAAGTCAAGTAGTTGTCGAGAACGCAGGAGAAACGCGAGCGGAAGACGCGACAGACGGTGAGGGTACAGCAAAGCAGCCGAAGAACCCATGGGAGCCCTTCGAGTCCGAGATGGACTGGCGGTTCGCTTCATGGGCAATCCAGGAAGGACTAACCCAGGGTTCCATAGACAGAGCGTTGGAAATACCCGGGTGAGTACTTGCACTTCCCTGAAGATGATACTAGCTGACGTACCTCAGTCAAGGAGAGACTCGGCTTGTCATATCACACAGTCGATCCCTCCTCCAACGTGTGGATTCTCTGCCCGAGAGGGCGGAGTGGATTGAACGGTGCCTCTCGTTCAAGGACCGACCGAACGAGAGGCACCTTCTTCAGTTTCGCGACATAATCCAGCTATACGCACGTTGCTGGGAACCCGGAACATACTGATCAAATTGTGTATCGACCCCGGCGAATCTTTTCAGACGCTTCGAGGAAGCATCGCCTCTACAACGAGATGTGGACTGGCCGTTGGTGGCATGCCGTTCAAGTGAGTGCTCTTACATCAGTTCATCGCCCAAATTTTTGAAGCACCTGTAGAGCATCTTACCTGTAGGCTCTACTGTAGCACCTGTCATTATCGCTACCGACAAAACTCAGTTGACGCAATTCTCGGGGAACAAGGTGCTTACCCGTCCACAGACACTCGGCAATATACCGCGTGCTCTAAGGCGTAAGCCGTCTGAGCATGCATGTATACTCATAGGCTACCTTTCGGTCGACAAGGTCAGCTCGGACGGCATTACGCAGCGCAAGCACGCGCCCTTGTGCAGCAATTATTCCACGCGTCCGTGCGTGCGATCTTGGAGCCACTGGTTGCTGCAGGAAAGGAAGGATCGACGTGACATCGGCCAATGGGGAGGTTCGAAGAGTGCACCCGATCCTCGCAGCATATGTCGCGGATTATCCAGAGCAGTGCCTGGTCACTTGCGCCAAGTCTGGGACTTGCCCCAAGTGCCAGGTACCGAGGAGCTGCTCGAATCCGGCAAGCCAGGTACGCCGCGTACTTCCCTCTGGACATTGGATGTCCTGCGCCGCGCCAGCGAGAAGACGCAAGGCAAGACGAGCTCGAACGCGTACACTCGAGCCTGTCAAGACCTCAACGTATCCGGCTACGTCGTGCGCCCGTTCTGGCGCGATCTTCCGTACACCGACATCCATTCGTGCATAACCCCTGACGTACTACATCAATTGTACCAGGGTGTTTTTAAGCACATCGTCGAATGGTGCACTCAACTTGTCGACGAGCACGAGCTCGACAGGCGCATCCGCTGCCTTCCGCCTGCGTTCGGTACCCGCCACTTCAAGAACGGGATTTCCTCCCTATCCCAGGTCTCGGGGACCGAGCGTAAGCACATGGCTCGCATACTGCTTGCCTGTCTGGTCGGCAAGATACCGAAGAAAGCAATCCTCGCTTTCAGGTCTATTCTAGACTTCATTTATCTCGCACAATACACTACTCACGACGACACGACGCTCCAGTACATGGAGGACGCCCTCAAGACCTTCCACAGCAACAAGAACATTCTCGTCGATCTCGGAGTGCGCGATCATCTTAATATTCCGAAGTTCCATTCATTACTTCACTACGTTGACGCAATCCGACTACTAGGCTCTACGGATAACTACAACACGGAGGCGTTTGAACGTCTCCACATCGACTACGCGAAGAAAGGGTGGAGAGCATCAAACCATCGCGATGCGCGTCCGCAGATGGTTCGTTGGCTGGCACGACAGGAGAAGATGGTCGTGCTCAGCTCAACCATCCACCGCTGGCTCAGGAGTACTGGCCGAGAGCCTGCAGACGACGTCAGTGACAGTGACACAGGCGACTCCGAGCAAGACCGGATACCAGGCTCTCGAATCAACTGTCGAATTAAATTACCCAAGCATCCCACTGCACCCCTCCAGGCTCTCCGTACTATTGTCGACAAACACCGAGCTCCCGGCTTCATCGACACCCTCGCGCAGTACATCTACACACTCAAGAACGGACGCTCTCTCACCTCGTCCCAGCTTCAGCATGCAGTCGACCGCATGCCTTTCCAACGCCTCGACGTGTTCCACGGATTCAAATTTGCTCCTGAACCGTTGACGGACGACGCGTTGGAGACGGACGCGGTGAAAGCAAAGCCCGCCACTGCTGGACAAGCAGCACGTTTCGATACTGTAGTTGTACTGCAGGGAGAGGATGCCGAAGCCACTGGATTGCAAGGTAACTACCTCGGGTTTTTTCGTAGACGGCTCTTCTAACTTGAATATAATCACTGAGTACAGGTACCAGGATCGGACGCGTCAAGGTTATATTCAAGCTACCTACTAGTGACATTAGAGACCCTCGCACCCTCCAGCCGCTGCAACCTCCATTGGAATGGGCTAGCCAAGGGCCTCTCGCCTACGTTGAATGGTTTTCTAAGCTACCAGCCCAAGCTGATCCGATACATATGATGTATCCTGTACACAAACCTCCCCTTCGCGCGAACGGCAAGCCCGTCGGTGATATCATTCCTTTGTCACTCATTCGCCAATCATGTCAGCTTGTCCCCTGTCCTCCTGGAGCACGCGCCGTGGCGAACCTACCTGATGATTGGGACACCCATACCGTCCTCGATCAGGCGCACAAGTTCTGGCTCAATAATTGGACATCCAAGTACGCCTATCAGACACTTTGGTAGAGTAATCAACGTAGCAATACAATTCCGTCCTGTAATTCCAGTTACACAAATATCTGAATGACTAGTAGCAACGCTTCATGATTCTTCAAACCGAATTTCCGCACTTCATACCACTCAAGAGTACTCGCCACCTTGAGTCGATTGCTCTCGGCGTTCTCCGGAGTGGGCGCTTCGCACTGCTGTCCTCGTCAACAAGTGCAGACCACCTCTGCTACTTCGCTCACCTGCCTTCTCGTCTGTTCGCCTCTACCCGCCCGTCTACGACCTAGCTCAGCAGCGAGCTTACTATTCTGCTGACTTGTGCTCTCGGTACCCTTCTTTCTCTCTCGGCTGTCGACTTCTCGTTCTCCGGTCGTCCGACCACCCGCTCAACCTGGCGCTTGCATTCTGCTCCCTCGCTCAGGCTCGTCTTCTCGCCTGCCCGCCCTCAACTGTCTATCTACGTACTTTTCCGACTGCCTGCTATCTCTTCTACTGACCTGTTGTAACAGCTGCCTTCTTTCTCTCTCGGTTGTCCACTTCTTGCCCTCCCAGTCTGACCACCCACTCAGCCGGGTCGCTTGCTCTCTCGCCCGTCTGCATGTCTCTGGCCTGCCCGCTTTCTTTCATACCATTCGTTAACTCGTCAGCCCATGTGCACGGTCATCCCAAGCTGGCCTGCCCACCTGTCGTGTATATCTGTGCGTTCAGTGTCTCCCCGCACATCTGTTTGCCTTGGTGCGTATTGCGTATGTCGTTCTTCTGTCGCCCGCAGATGTTTGTATGATCTAATTTCGGTGTGATGGGCCGGCCTCGAGAGGGTTGTGCAAAGAGCGAGGAGGGAGCCAGGTACGTGAGGGCGAGAAAAGCGGGCATGAACCGTTGAACGACCGAAGCCGCAGGTAAGTGCTTGTTCGCTGTTGGCTCGTAGCTCATCGTAAGTATCAGCACAGCAAGGAAAGAAGGCTCCTCTCGCCGACCTCTCGCCCATCAACTCACTCGCCCGTCCTCCAGACAGTCCCATGGGCGCAGAACGGAACTCGATGAGGGCAGCACAAAGGATGAGGAGGAGGACGGAGGCAGGTACTGCGAGGGCGAGAAAAGCGGGCACGAAGGGCTCGAGAGCCGCAGGTACACCCTTGTCCGATGCACTAACTACCACGCGGGAAAGAATGGTCCTCTCACCGGTCCTCTCTTTCACCTACGCCTCGTTCGCCCGTCATTTGCTCGCCCGCCGTCTCGCTTCAAGGTTCACTCACTCGAACTCTGCTTCGATCGCCCAACCTCGCGCTCGCTGGATCTCTCGCCGGTTCTCTCTCTCACCCGCGTCTCTTGGCTGTCCCTTGCCGTTCCTCTCACTCGCTCGTCGACTCGCTTCTACATCCTCTCTGTCCGCGACAAATGACTCTGGAAGGCTAGCAAATGGCCTGCCACACCTAGTTGTATGGGGCGGGAGCCCAGAAACGATATCCACAACGACTGCACTCGTCGAGAACGCGACCAGACGTACACGAGGATCGCTGACCGATGCTACTAGTCAGCCATGCACGGCGACATAGCCTCAGAATTGCCGCTGCCTCTTTGCGCTTCATGGTCACCTGGATTATGTCCGCACTGTGCATCGTGAGTTTCCGCTTTGCTGTAGTCGCTGCTTCACTTCATCTTCTAGATCTTAGCTTCGGATGATTAAATGGCTAAACGATCCGCATCTGGAATAGCACGTCGCGCAACTGTGTTTTCATCCAAAGGAGGATCGGTCGTCTCCGCGTCGCAAGACCAAACTGTGCGTGTCTGCGACATCTCAGGTCTAAGGAAGAGCACCCCGAACTCGGCACCAGGCGGCACTTTCGATACTTTCGACACCTTCTCGACCGTCAAGTACGTACTTGAAGGCCATGACTGCGGTGTCAACTACGCGACGTTCCACCCTACCCTCCCTCTCATCGTTTCTGCTGCGGACGACCGGCAAATCAAGATCTGGCGTATGAGCGACACGAAGGCCTGGGAGGTCGACGCATGCAGGGGACACTTCAACAATGTGTCGACAGCGCTGTTCCATCCCAAGCATGAGCTCATCGTGTCATGCGGCGAAGACAAGACCGTACGGGTGTGGGACCTGACGAAACGATCTGCCGTGCAGACATTCCGACGGGAGAATGATCGCTTCTGGACCCTTGCTGCCCATCCCGAGTTGAACCTCTTCGCAGCGGGTGCGTTTCTTTTGATTCTGCGTCCGTCCTGTACTGACGTAGTCGTAGGCCACGACAACGGCTTGATCGTCTTCAAGCTTGAGCGTGAGAGACCTGCCTTCGCTGTGCATGACGACTCTGTCTTCTATGTGCGGGATAAGTATGTACGCTCGTACGACATCAACACCGGCTCGGATCTCGTCTGCTCAGCGTCCGCAAGTTCGGGAGCCCGTACGTCCCCCGCGAA